GGTGGTATTGGTGATGGGGTGATGGGGGGTTGGTGATGATGATGGTGAGGGTGGTGGTTCTGGAGATTGAACCTGGGCCCTTGGCCATGCTAAGTAAGTACTCTAAGCTCTATCCCTACGTTGGCTGTAGAAATTCAATGAACACTCATATATATGGACTCTTGTGAAGTCAGGATGCAAAGGTTTTGAAGAGACGTGGGGTCAATGCAAACAGTGAAGCACGGTGCATAGACAAGCCTCTTAGGAACGTGCACAGAGATGCAGCATTAAAAGCCTTCCCTGGAGCTCTTGCCACCAGCACTATGCCCTGGAGGGCATACAACTTACATGTACCGAGCGGATGCTTTCTATTAGCCCCCACCTAAAACATCCCGTAAGATCTCAGCCTGGCCTTCCCTCCTTGTATCTCTAGCAAACCAGAAGGAGGTAGGGTCAGCACGTGAGAGAAAAGAGCCAAGTAGCCATGTGGCTGAGAGATGATCTCTCTGTCACATGGAGTCTCCAGAGAGGCAGGCAGAGGCTATTTCCTGAGAAAGTCCCTTGTGGAAGACTGGCAGCTTTATGGCAGGTCAGGAAGGAAGAATCTGGAAAATAGCATGATCTGAAGTTTTTCTAAGCATTTTAAAATCAATTTTCAATAAACAAAGAAATCTGAAAACTTTATGCACTAGAGAGCTTGTCTGGCTTCTGTGGAACTGGGGAGTGTAATCTTTGCCCAGGGCCTCTGTTTTATTTAAGAAAACAGGAAACAATCTGAAAAGATGGCCCTGCTGGTAAATTTACTTGCTAGCAAGCTTGGTGACCTGAGTGCAAGACCCACTGTCTTAGTCAGGGTTGATATCGCTGTGAAGAGACGCCATGACCATGGCAATTCTTATAAAAGAAAACTGGGGCTGGCTTACGGTTTCAGAGTTTTAGTTCATTGTCATCATGGTGGGAAGCATGACAGCATGCAGGCAGACATGGTGCTGGAGAGGAGCTGAGAGTCCTACATCTTGATCCACAGGCAGCAGAAGGAGACTGTGTCCCACACTGGGTGTAGAATGAGCAAATGAGACCTCAAAGCCCTCCCCACCAGAGACACACTTACTCCAACAAGGCCACACCTACTCCAACAAGGCCACACCTCCTGATAGTGCCACTCCCTACGGGCCAAGCGTTCAAACCTGTGAGTCTATGGGGACCATACCTATTTAAACCACCACACCCCTATGGAGAAGAGAACTGACTTCTTCAGGTTGTCTCCTCGCCTTCATGCATGAATCATAGCCCATGTGTACATGCACGTACACATAAATAAATGAACGTAATAAAAAATAAAAGTAAAAGAAAGAAAAGAAAAGGGAGCTGGACTGATGTACATACACTCTTGCAGAAGATTGGAGTTAGATTTTCAATGACTCCCAGCTCTCATGAAGGGTGAATTATAACCTCCTATAACTAGATCTCCAGGGAGACCAGACACCTCTGGCCTCTGGACACCTGCAGTCATGTGCACATACCTCCCATACACACACACACACTAATAAAATAACTTTAATGACTTCAGGACTGATGAAATGGGTCAGTCAGTAGCGTGCTTGCCACAGAAGCATGAAGATCTGAGTTCAGTCTCCAGAACCCGTGTAAAAAGTTGGGCATAGTGGTGAATGCTTGTAAGCCCAGCTCTGGAGAGGCAGAACAGTGGATCCCTGGAGCTTATGAGCCAGCCCAGCCTAACTGGCAATCCCCAGGCCTGTGAACATCATCTCAGAAAGGAAGGTTGGCAGCTCCTGAGGAATGATGCCTGAGGTTGACCTCCGGTTTCCATGTGAATGCATATGCATGCATATGTGACCACACATACATGTGAACCCACACAAATAAGTAATTAAGTAAAATAGTTTAGCTTTTAACCCCAGTGCTGTGGAGACTAAACAAGAGGATAGCCAACTCCAGGCCAGCCTGGGCTAACTAGCAAGACCTCATCTCAAAAGTAAAGACTTGAGCTGTGAAATTCAGTCTTCGTTTTACCTCTTCCATGGAGTTAGTGATGTGTGGCAGCTGGTTACTTTCTGAAATGAACAGTCACAGAGTTGAAAGGTGACGCTTTGGAGACCCCAGGAAGAGCTTCCTTATAACCGTGGTGATGAAGCTCCCTGGGCCAGTGTGACTATACAGGGGCTGTGCTTCCAGGTGGAGGCCAGTTCTCACCTTCTCCTCCACCAGCGTTGCATCTGTTGGCCTTATCTCTGACATGCTAACACTGGTTTCTCTGGTTTCTCCCTGTTCGACTCTCCAATTTGTAAAATTCTGGGTCCTTGCTCTGCTGTGGCTCCTGGCCTCTGCCCTGCCCTGGCTGCTGATACAGGTGAAGATCTGGAGAGAAATGACGGATCTGCAGAGAAACCTTACTTTGTAACCCCCAGCCTGCACAGGATTCTGACCAAGAAGCACCCGGTTTCCCAGAGACAGACAGAGTAGAAAGGCTCCACGCAGGGGTTTTGTGAATTAGGTTGATTGCAATGTGAAAACGTTGCTTTGGAGCAGTGTGCAGATTCCACGCTGTTTCTGAAAAGGTTGCAATTGGTACCATTTGAGGGGTCAGGCGTTTGATTGACAGTGGCCTAACTTACTTTATAGACTGTGGTCCCAACTGCAAAAACTTGTAGCTGACAATGTTTTAATAATTTTTATAACTTTGCTAGCCTTTCTTTTTTATAAGTGTATATTTGTAAAGGATATTCAGGCAATTTTTTACAACACTATAAATATGTAATCAATTAGCCATAAAAATATTGATTTGTAGTTGACCAGCATATGGTACTAAATTTGTAAATATGGTGCTATGGTTATAGGTACTGTTTAGGCTGGTGAACAGCTCTCTAAAACTGTGATTCAACTTGTAACCCTGGTTCCCTAGAAAGCATATGTCAAGTGGGCGAGTTAGTCCATGACAAGCATGCAGAGGTGCGGGTCTCACGGGTTCAGCAGCTAACATCACTACAGGTGAGGTGAACCTGAGGCCCAGTGGTCCGTCTGCTTCAGTGAAATGAGACCCATATTGGGGTCGAATCTAGGTTTGGAAAAATCGTTTTCATTCCTATGAACCTTTGGCCACCCCGAGAATATTCTGAACGGAGCAGAAATGGCTGCCTCGCTCATCTCTTGCCTTTTGCCTGAGTTTCCTGTTCCAGACATATAGAAGGCCTGTGGACTTCCCTTTTCGTGAGTACACATGTGTGTTTTGTGTGACTTCGTTATGCAGAAGGTCTGAGTTCAACTGTCAGTGAGGAAAGAAAGCAAGCCAGTCTGTTCAGATTTTACTCTAAGGAAATAGACCAGCGGCCTTCTATCAGGGTGTGTTTGTTTCAAACTGGAAATTCCACACCCCCCCCCCAGCCCCAGGGCTTAGAAAAGAAGCTGGTTTGTTGTGGTCATGTCTGAACCTCACATGATGCAGAAAAGTATGAACTGGGCCCATACACCTTGCCTGCTCTTCCCTGTGTGTGGAGGTGGACTACATGGCTGATTATAAAAGCCCCTCCAAAGAGCACAGGATCAACCAGTGCCCTTTTGGTTTTGACACTAACTCATGTCAGATTGTCTATATATTAATAATGGAATGTGTGGATATCAATATGGCCCTCACATTTGAGAGTCCGAAATATATCCTTGAGTTATAAGTTAATATAAACGCTGATTTATTTACTTACCGTGAAGTGTGTGAACCTAGGTTTAGAACGGTTTTATGAAGACTTCCTACATAGATCCAATTATTCCAGAAGGTTTTCTAAGTGTTGGTCCACATGACCGCCAGCCTCTGGTTCTGGGCTTACTCTGTTGAGATTATTTAGTCCTGGTGTCACTTGGCAAAGGGCCTTCCTCATTCCTTCCTTGATAAGGAGAGAAAAACGATCGCCTATCTTTTTCTTGAATTTTAGTAGTATTTGGTTTTCAACCATGCAAGGACCTCAACAAAGACCTCTAAGAATGTGACATCTACTACTGAGCCTGTAAGCCGCAGGAGCTTATGTCTGGGTGTGGGCCACCCTCTGGATCGTGATAAAATCCTTTAGTTGATTCAGCTACACACAAAAACTTGCTATAGATCAGATGTGAGAAATTAGCTGTCTTTTTGCTGTGTTATGGTGTATTCCCGCTCAGAAAAATAGTCTGTTTATTACTTCTGTAATTAAAATGTATAGAGTAAAAATGAATGTTGTTTTTGAGGAGAATTTTAGAAGCCATTTTCTTACACAGCAATTAAAGTTTTTAAAACACAGAGCAATATTTTCAGAACTGTCCATGGAAGGATTTGAGATTACACATAAAGACCACTTTGTCAAGGTTTTACAATCTAAATTGTCATTGGCAAAACAGAGACAATGTGGGAATGGAGATTGTAATTTAGGAAGTAAATTTAGGTGGGGAGTAAATGTTATTTCCTCAGTCATTCCATGGAAAGGCTTGAACTGTCGCCAGAACTGACCTGGGACACAGAATGAAATGATAACTTATCGATGTATTAACAAGGGCTGATTGTTTTTCTTAGCTGTTTACAATGATGCTGACTCGGAAGCGGTGTTGGGCGCTGCTGTGCAGCAGGTGGGCAGCAGGTGGCGATGTTGCTCCTCCCACCGCTCCGCTGCGCTGTTGACGCTCTGCCCTCCTCCCTCCTAGTGGAAGACCTAGACAGAAACGAAGGCTCTCGCGCAAGACCCCTCTTCACGACTCCGACTCTAATGAACCTCTTGCTGGAGCCGCCGGACAAGCATGCGAAGCACTAGGAGAGCCGGCTGGGCGACCTGCCGCCGGGTGACCTCCTGCTCCGCTGTGCCATCCAACGCTCCGTCCACAGTGCTCTGGCTGCGGACATTCGCAGCCAGGGCCTTGCTGCTTGCGTTCGCATCTTATACCAAAGCCCACACTGTAACCTGTGAAACCATCAGAAGTCGCAAGGGAATTGTTAATAACATGCAACATTTTTATGCTAAGATCTTTCGCTTTGTTTTTTGTTTTTGTTTTTTTCATAAAGTGGCTTGGATGTTTTGAAAAATATATTGAATACATTCATACTCTTTTTTTTAGTATTAACTTAATGAAGGACACATGATTTAAATCAATAGCTCCTAATATATTTTTTAAGACGACAACTGAAAGGCTTCTGCAGGGAAATTTGACCATTAAAGCAAGATAAACGTTTTTAAGGCCCCTTCCTCGCCATGTTTGACAGTCAACCAGCGGAGCGGACCTCCCGCCTCTGGTGTTGCCTGCCTAGGTAGAGAATGCTTCCAGTGAGAGCTGCCAGTCAGCCATCCAGCCCTTACCACTCACTTCTCTCCCAAGTGCCTTCCTGGCTGGTCAGTACTTCCCGGATCTTGTGGGCAAGTATACAGACCTTGTTCGAAGAAATTAACCCCTGCAATGTTGAGTGATGAAAAGTCTTCCCACGTTTTCAGTTCGTTTTGTTCTCTTTTTTCCCATCTTGCTCGCCAACTGGATGCCTCTGGTATTTCATTACTCTTGATAACCCTCACACCAGAGGAACACACTGTGTGACATGAACAATTCCCCTGTGCCTCGTGGACATTCACAGATGGGTGCCATGCGCACGCAAAACAACCCGAGACTTGTTGGATTTGTCTGTTTTTACTAAGAGAAGTTTTCAAGTGTAATCTTTTCTGTAGTTGTTCCTTAGAAACACAGTAGGTCTGCATCTAGGCATCCAGTGTCTTACCCGTACCCGAAAGGGCAGCTTGTGGGAGTTACACAGGGAAACTTCCCCCTCAGAGGGTGACAACAGGTGCGCCCTGTGCTGATCAGCTCCCTGACACATGACTCTTCCGTGAGAGCATGTTCTGTACATGTCTTTCTACTGGCTTTTTATATGAAACAACCTGTTTACCTGTCGATTTTTTATTGTGCCAATAGAAACAGGAACTGTTTTTTATTCCGTTTTAAATAATTTTATGAAGATTGCTAAGTTTTAGGAGAGCTGACTCAGTTTACCAAGTCAGAATTACAGCAAGTCAACCACATGGTGGAGATTCGTGAGTCAATCAATAATAATTCAATATTGTTTATCAATGATCTGTTTGTTGGAAGGTAACTTTAGATACTTTTATACCAAAAAGTTCCCACTAGCGCCTTGCGGTGTGGGCTCACCCCCGTCCCGCCCCACGCCTGGTGGTTTGGGCTCTCCCGAGCCCATGGCGGCGTGGGTTATGAATCACTGTGTCTCTGCTATGCAGGAACACTCAAAGTGTATGGTTTAAATAATTTTGATAGCTAAAATGCTTAATATTTAATGGAATTTGTTGTTGCTCATTGTATATTTGTTTTTTTCCTTCTAATAAAAATTTCGATAACAGATGAAAAGGCTGTACTTTGACTTCTTTAAGATAGAAAGGAGCTTTTGTACATGTGTGTGTGTGTGTGTGTGTGTGTGTGTGTGTGTGTGTGTGTGTGTGTGGTTGCACATGAGTGCATTTTTTTATGAAGAACAGAAGACGAGTTTGGGTATCATTCTTCCTCAGGCACCATTAACATTGGGTCATTTTGTTTTGTTTTGGTTGGAAGTTTTTTATATTATTAATTACTTATTTATTCATTGGAGAGATTGTGGGGTTTGGGAAGGGCCTTTCATTGGCCTGAGGATTGTAGATTAGGCTGTGCTGGATCTTCCTCTCTCTGTCTCCTCAGTGCTGGGATTACAAACAAGCGCCACCCACCTGGTTGTGACTTTGGTCTTACTTTTAACTTCTGGAGACTTAATTCCCACTCAAGCAGCAGGCGCTGCTCTGAGCTGTCTCCCCCAACCAGCTTAGGTTTAGACCCACCATACAGCAGTACCATCTTCTCTGTACCAAGCATTAAGGTCTTCAGTATCTTATATGAGTAAATCAGTCTAGGAAAGAGAGTAAAGAGTGGATTGTGGAGAAATGTGACCACCAGGCAATGACCTAAGCAGTCATTTGGTCCTTGTTTTAATTTGACACAGCCTGCCACTGCCTCACTTGGTCTCATCAAGACACACAGGGAGGAATTATCATTTCCATGGTGAGGATAAATATACAGAACAACAGAGAGTGGATATTTACAGCAGTTTTCTGAAGCAAGAGTAAATGTACCTAGTGCTGGTCTGTTCTGAGCTGAAACAGCATCATTTTATGGGTTCAATTATGTGATAAATCTTCAAAATTAATTTCCTTTTAAAATTTAATGGGTTTCTTCCAAGGATAGTTTAAAACACTCCTCTTACCTTTTCAACACTCTTTTAAAAATGTTATAAATCTAGTAAGATATTTGTTGACATAGGTGGTTTTTGTTTGTTTGTTTGTTTGAAATAAAAGCTTAGGCTGGGTTTTCAGAAGAAATCTAAGTTTGGGTTCAGTACTAGTAACTCCTATTTTTAGTTGATAAAACATTGATATTTGCAAATAAATTGTATGAATTTGGTCTGTGGTTGATTTGGCTTTTCCACCTGTCTAAAAAGTTTAAGAGTTTATCCATATAGTAAAGTCACACAATGGAAAGTTCTGGAATCATCTGGGATAACATGACTCACTTACCTGGTGGTAGGCAATGGCTCTGGGCAGCAGTCCTTTTTCCCCTTAGCCCATGGCCGGCCAGCCCTCCTTGCACTGTCTTCTTTTGCTCTTATAATGGAGCCTGAGGTGGTTTAAAAGAAAATGGCCCACAGGGAGTGGCACTGTTAGGAGGTGTGGCCTTATTGGAGGAAGTGTGTCACTGTGGGGGCGGGCTTTGCGGTCTCTCTTGCTCAAGCTTCCCGAAGTGTGACAGTTGACTTCCTGTTGCCTACAAGATGTAGGACACTCAGTTATTTCTCCAGTACCATGCCTGCCTGCATGCTGCCATACTCCCTACGGTGATGATAATAGACAGAACCTCTGAACTGTAAGCAAGCCACCCCAATTAAATGTTTTCTTTATAAGCATTGCCGTGGTCATCCTGTCTCTTCACAGCAATCATAACCCTCACTAAGGCTGAGCCTCAGGAAATTACTCTTAAATTCTACCCAGGTGGAGTAATTGTCTGCATTATTATTATCTGGTTCTGGGTTGAGGAGCATTCTTTACAGCTCAGTCTTGCTTGGAATAAGATATGGGGACAGAATTGAACCAAAATCATTACTGCAGTCTGCTATACCTTAACCTGTTTCCCAGTGTCTTGAAAATATTATCCCTACATGTTTGTACCTTTCAAATATGGCTATAGGGTTACAATAATACAATGTAATAAGCCATTAATTAAAATATACGATCAATATCTCAGATGCATTGAAATCCACAGTTTTCTGTCTTACAATCTAATTTTCATTATGCTGATTAGGTTAGGAAAAGAATTATATATAAAATATATCAGGAATAAATTATTTTTTCAAAAATTATTTCCCATGTATGTTTTTAATTTTGGAGCTAAAATGGAGATTGCAGACTTGTCTCTTAGGATCCAGCTGAGCTCCTGGAGAACCTCAATGAATCACCAGCACCATTGAGACAAACGCTAATCCATTCAGTGCAAGTTAGTTACACGGCCTGATATTGGGTATCTGGATAGAGTCACAGATAAATGGCCTTCTTACAAGTTACCAGGCCAATGTGAGGCGTCCCCCTTCCCCACTGACAACTTCCCAGTTGCTTAGACAGAAAGGCAGTCAAGGCAGCTGAGAACCTGGCAGTATCTTCCATCACGGTTTCCCTACAGGGTGAATGCGGGCTTTTTCTGACACATTTACGAGCAGCCAATTAGATTTTATGGGTTGAGGTCAGCAAATTCTTTAAGTTTAACTCTGGCTCTTTTTTCTTATATACCTAGTGCATGAATCATAATAATTTAAACACGTGAGGAAATTGGGAAAAGCCCTTGCTGTTCTGGCAAGGAGGCCCAGCGGGGGCGGGGGGTGGGGCTGGGGTGGCACTTGCAGCTCCAGCCTGGAGACATGAGTGTGATCCCTGGAACCCATTAGAAGTGGAGGGAGATAACAGACTTTACAAAGTCTCTATATATGTGTGTCTCTGTGTCTCCCCCCCACACACACACACATGCACACATACAGACACCATGCCATGAGCACCTGCACATGCTCATCACATACACATGCACATACCGTACACATGTACATTAGACACACATATGATAAAAATAAGATTAATTTTAAACATTTCTGGTTCTCCTTCGTCTTCTGGCCCCTTGCTGTCAAACAGTGCAGTGTGCCAAAGGTGAGGGGGGCTTACCACAGAGAACGCTGTTTGTCCGCTGTGCATGAACGAATGTGGAGTCTGGGCTGCTTCATTGTTGAAATAATCCTGGGGTTGCCGTGTGCCACGTTCCCCCACCCTGAAGACTGTCCTACCGAGTGAGCGTGTGCACAGAAAAGAACACGGTGAGACGCTGGGCAGAGCGCTGGGATCCAAGTGGGGAACAGAATCCCTAAGACACACCAAGAAATCTCCAGAGACCACAGAGGGCAATAACTCGGGCATCAGCTGCCTTCTGAGTGTGACTCGTGGGCCTGTTGAAAAGGCGGCTCACCAAATCAGAAGTCAGTAATTAAACAAGCGAAAATAGTCTTCAGACACCTAATGAACAGCACACAGCAGACTGTGGTACAATACAGCTAATCGCTTAGATGTATTTAGCCCAAATAAATAACATAAGAGAGTCATGTTCCAATCTGGTTCGTGGCTAAGGATTTTAAAAAGTCTGCCTCCCCCCTACAGAGCCCAAGATTGGCTGCCATGCTGGGTGTTCTCTCTGTGGTCTACACCAAGAGATGCCCTTTCAGCTTTTCCCACTCTCTGCAACCAGCCTCTTCCTCTCTTGCTCCCTCGCCTGTTAGGAATTAAGAGATCATTTCACCTTCAGAAGGAAATGGAGGTGGGAGAAGAAAAGGAAGAGACACAGTGAGGAGCTCGGATGGCACTTGGGAGTCCCGTGTCCCACTTGCAGGCCTGGACGACAGGAGAGTGCCTAGAATGGCATGTGGCGGCTTGAGGGTAACAAGCTGGAGTCAAAGCAGATGAGCCCCCACCCCAGTGTCAGCCAGGACTGTGGGGCCAGGCAAGGTGGATAGCTGCTCAGACCTTCTCCCTGAGCTGAGCTGTGCCCATTCCTAAAGGCCTGGTGGGGGTTCGGCCCATCCACACTGGTCCTGTGCAGTAGGTTTGCATGGCTGAGGGCATCGCAAAGGTGGAGCCCCTCCCGCCATCACCCCTATGCCCAGCCCAGAGAGATGAGCGGGCTACGCCCCACCTCCCTCCAGAGCGTCATTCAGAGCCAGCAGAATTCTTTAGCTGAGCTGGAATTCTTGACCGCTGAGGACAAACTCCACTGAGCGGGCAAGGGCAACCTCACTGGGTTTTCAGCCGCCATCTCCATACCTTTCCTCTTCATTTTAACTTCCGGCATTAAGCCAGCTTGGCAAAGCCGGGAACTAGACGGCATTTGGATGGCCCCTGACCATTTGCTCGTTCCCTGCATAACACTGAATCCTAAATAGCATCTAAAGATAATGCTGTGTAAGTGGATGATTGCAGCCTTGAAAACTGAGGCCGTCCATCTGCACTTCATACTTCTGGGGTGGTTTCTCTCTGCAGACTCTGAGGAGTCTGCTTAGGCCAATGGCAACCTTCCTTTATCCTGACCCACTGAAGAAGCCCGTGCTAGAAAGAGGTTGCATGACCAGGACCAACAGCTCCAGCCTCACGGGTAGGCTCTTATTTCTCTGAGAGTGAATGAGACGGTTTTGCCAGTAGAGAAGAATCCACACCTTGAAAGCAATGTTCTTTTCTTTTGGGTGGGTCCTACATTTAGGTTTCAGTAGCTGTGGTGTGTGTGTGTGAGGGTGGGGGGAGGAGAGAGAGAGAGAGAGAGAGAGAGAGAGAGAGAGAGAGAGAGAGAGAGAGAATTATACCATGGTAATAACTATAGTATTTATTTCAACTCTCCATGTAAACTGCTGAACAGACAAATTATTTTGCCCTCTGTCACCCTAATCCTCAAATATCATAGTGTTTTCCAGAAGGTGAATATCCTAGCTAGTTTATGTCACCTTGACACAAGCTAGTCATCAGAGAGGAGGGAGCCTCAGCTGAGAAAATGCCTCCATAAGAGGCAGCCTGTGGGGCATTTTCTTAATTAGTGATTGATGGGAGAAGGCCTAACCCACTGTGAGTGGGGCCACCCCTGGGCTGTTGGGCCTGGGTTCTGTAAGAAAGCAGGCTGAGCAGGCCGGTAAGCAGCTCCCCTCCACGGCCTCTGCATCAGCTCCTGCCTCCAGGCTCCTTCCCTGTTTGAGTTCCTGTCCTGACTTTTTTCAGTGATGGACAGTAAAGTATAAGCCAA